CCAAATTCTCGCCGTCGGTGGTGAAGAAGTTTCTGATTGCTGTACAGGAGGGCTATCCGGTGAAGGTGAAGGAGGTGCATGTGATCAACATCTCCCCGCTGGTCGACACCATCTTCAACTTTGTGAAGCCCTTCGTGAAGGAGAAGATCCGCAGCCGCATCACCTTCCATAACGATATCGATAGTCTCTACAAGGCCGTGCCGAAAGATCTCTTGCCCAATGAGTACGGCGGCAAGGCTGGCAGCGTCGTCGAGCTTAATCAGTGGTGGAAGCAGAAGCTGGCCGACAACACCAAGTGGTTCCAGGAGCAGGAGGATAAGAAGGCCAATGAATCTCTGCGCCCCGGCGCACCAAAGACCAGCGATGATCTGTTCGGCATGGAAGGCACCTTCCGTCAGCTGAACATCGATTGAACCCGCATCCGCATACCCACATCCATGCCCCATGCCCCATGCCCCATGCACCATGCCCCAAGCGTAACTACTTGTGTATATTTTAGCCACTCATTTGTTTAGTCCAAGCTCATGTGCATAACTCTTGCTTAAACGCTTCATTCTGTCGCCTGTTCCATTATCTATTTACCACATACGTATATACTCGTATATATCTTCTCATCCGTACATCGCAGTAATTACAATAATAAAGAAGCAGCAGCATATTAAGGAATGAATAAATAAAATCCACATGTCGTTTACACTGTCCAACATGAAGAAGTGGGTAGGGTAGGGTAGGTGGGTGGGTGAATGAATGAAAGCAATGAAATGAAAAATACGACTCGACATTTCTCAACGAATGCCCCATTAAAGTACAAGTAATGACCACGAATTCAGTGAAGAGTGCCCGTGCCCTGACTGCACTGACTATCCGATTGTTGATTGCATCTGCCACAGGGCCACACATACAGATGCGGACACGGATGCATACAAGAGCATATTTCACTCGTCGCGTCGCATGTCTCTCTCCACTTTGTGCAACATGCACGTTGATGGCGGAAACGGAAACTTGTCGCAGTTCCTCCCACCGCACTTGGGCAGGCAAAATACGAAGGCGAAGGCGGACATTCTTCCTGCTTGACTTACTCCGTCTGACATATTGGTTCCTTTTCCCATTGTCCTGTGAGCGATTCGGCGTACGAAATCAAGTGTGGCCGACATATCGCAGTCACGACTCAACTCCGGACATGGTCTTCTGCTCGCCACTGCCTTTCAATGTAAGGATTTTTCACTTCCTTTCTTTTTGAACTCGAATGCCAGTCTGAGGAATTGTTAGGAATTTATTTGCCTGGCTAGACGGTCAAGTAGCGTTATGATTTGCAAAGAAATGTTGCAAAATATACTACAGCTGAGCAGTTCTTGGAGTAAAAGTCTGTTGGCCAACAAAAAGAGCTAAAGTCCTAAGCCAAACTGAATGAAATGAAGCATGAATAAATTCAAGTAACCACAAATTGGTTGAGGAACATGTGTGGTGCAACAGTTTTCGAAATGAAGAGAAAAATAATTTATATAATTATTTGAGAAAATCTTCTTTTCATGCGGCTAATCATTAATTAAGTTATTTCCACCACAAAGTTGCCAAACTTTTGGTAATTGCTTCAATCAAAAGTTTTCATAGATCCATTTTCTTATTATTTATTCAAATTATATTTAATTTTATGAGGCCTTTTGGGTGTCTGCTGCTATCTTGCCTCGTTGCAACATGTAATTTAAAGTTTTCTTGGTCGAGAGTATATAACTTTTAATTTATAGAAATAAAATGATTGAAATATTCAACCTATATAAGAATATTCCATCAGAAATGCTCGCAATAATCCAAAAAGACACCATGAAAGAAACCAAACTACCACTACAGATTAAAGACGACTCAAAACGTCAAGATCTATTCGTTTTTGTGCGTTATACAATGTGTATAGCAGCAATGTATCCATTTGGCTACTCACTCAAGAGTTCGGGCTTTCTGGTGCTCATTGTGCGAGTCCTGGATTGGATCTACGAGATCTTCAACTACTTTGTGTCGGTGCATATTCTTGGCCTGTACATCTGCACTATTTACATCAACTATGGCCAGGGGGACTTGGACTTCTTCGTCAACTGCATGATACAAACAATTATCTATATGTGGACCATTACCATGAAGCTGTACTTTAGACGTTTCCGGCCAAAGTTGCTCGATGAAATTATATTAATAATCAATGAGAACTATCAACCACGCTCTGCTCTGGGTTTCAGCTTTGTTACCATGTCAGGGGCTCATCGCGTGTCCAAACTGTGGATCAAAACGTATGTCTACTGCTGCTATATTGGAACCATTTTCTGGCTTGTGCTACCCATTGCCTATAGGGACAAGAGTCTGCCTCTGGCCTGTTGGTATCCATTTGATTATACGGTGAATATATGTAGTTATTTTCTATCCCTGACTAAACTCTCTGACTAAATAAATGTCATCTTTACTCTAGCAACCCATTGTGTATGAAGTAGTTTTCTTTCTCCAGGCCATGGGCCAGATCCAAGTGGCGGCTTCCTTCGCATCATCTAGTGGTCTTCATATGGTTTTCTGTGTTCTTTTATCGGGACAATATGATGTTCTTTTCTGCAGCCTGAAGAATGTGTTGGCCACCAGCTATATTCAAATGGGAGCAAATATGGCAGAACTGAGGTTTACATCGAAATAACTCAAATTGAATCCTTAATTTCCAATAGTTTCCCATCTACAGACAACTCCAATCCGAACAGTCTGTTTCCGATGCAGAGCCCAATCAATATGCCTACTCCCAGGAGGAAGAGACTCCTTTAGAGCAGCTACTCCAGCATCCACCGCAAGTGAAATCCTCTACAGATTTCCTCAAAGCCTTCAAGCGATCCTTTAGGCGTTGTATTGACCACCATCGCTATATAGTAGCCGTGCTCAAGAAAATGGAGCGCTTCTACAGTCCCATTTGGTTTGTAAAGATTGGAGAGGTCACCTTCCTCATGTGCCTGGTGGCTTTCGTCTCGACCAAAAGCACCACCGCCAACTCGTTTATGCGGATGGTATCTCTGGGGCAGTACCTGCTACTGGTGCTCTACGAGCTCTTCATAATCTGCTACTTTGCGGATGTGGTGTACCAGAACAGTCAGAGGTGTGGCGAGGCTTTATGGAGGAGTCCCTGGCAAAGACATCTCCGAGAGGTACGCAGCGATTATATGTTCTTCATGCTGAATGCCAGGAAACAGTTCCAGTTGACGGCGGGAAAGATCACCAACCTGAATGTGGATCGTTTCAGAGGGGTACTTTAGGACTTGATTCCATTTTCAAACTTCCTTCTAATTGGTTCCCTTCCAGACCATCACCACAGCCTTTTCATTCCTCACACTCCTCCAAAAGATGGATGCTCGGGGCTAGACAATTGATCGGATTTCGATTTTCGCTTTTATTTATACAGTTTTTAGTAATTATAAAAAATATTAGCATTTTAATAAACAGAGGCAAACTCATGCTTTTGATTCATATTTCTTCAATAATTCTATCAACTTTGGCAATAGCTCACATACTACACTCTCATACAGTGCGTTTCGAAGCTATAAGACAGTCGAGAATGTGCAATGTTAACCAGAAATATTCCATCAAACCAACGATATAATGTTATAATTTTTTAATATGTTAAAAGTGCATTAATATGGAAAATAAACATAATTCTATTAAAGCATTGCTAATTCTTGTTTTTAATCAAATAAATTATTTCATATAGTTTTCTTTCATTCAGGTTTAGTTACAAAATATAGGTAATTTATAGAAAAGAATTCAATTTAATATATTTTCGAATAGATTCGCTAGTTCAATCATGCAATTGTCGAATGACATACAGGAAACTATAGAACAAATGTTTCGACTAACTGATTAACTCACATATTTCATATTTTTCGAATCAAGCCTAGTCAATTTTGTATTAGATTCAACAGTTCGATTATAAAAAACTCTAATATCAAGGTTTCTTATCAATTTAGCAACCGACTTGGTTATTAATTTACCACAAATTTAATCTACCATTACATAAGATCGAAAATAATCAGAATAATCCGTGCTAATGTGCGTCAATGATCTAACTTATCTAATGAATTCAAGTGGAAACGAATTAATCTTCGCCTTGACATCTGTTTTCTAATTTTGTATAGTTACTGATATTAATTTTGATATATTATCAGAAAACATAGAGGAATATAATGCCAATTCAAGTACTGCCCGTCTTATAGTTTCGCAACGCATTTGGTTTACATTTGTATGTATGAATAAAAGTAAATAGAGTACAACTAATGATGAACTAACATATATAAGATATGAGTGTCGATCCGCTAATCTCAATATTATTCATATCTTATTTTTCTCCTTGCAATCATTTCGGTAAACGAATTTATTTAGAGAGGAAAATCATACAATACAAAGAGAATAAAGAAATTCATGTGCTTGACAGATAAATAAATAATATTCACTTCAGTTTTGTTTCCGATTTCATTCTTAACACTAAAAGCGAAATAAATCATATACATTTATAAGGTACTTGGGTTAACTCTTCAACTCCCGATACTTCTCCTCCCGCTACTCGTATAATCAATCAATCGTGTTAACTACATTTTGAGCATGAAATATAAATGTTTAACAATTTGTATATTGTATATTGTTTTTTCTGTTTTTGTTTTGTTTCTACATATGGTTTTTCTCTCACAATGTTTTATTGTGCTTGGCATTTTGTACAGTATCAAAAAATCGGTTTGATTGGTTTTGTTGTGGCCGAAATACTACAGATTTTAGCTAATTTGCTTTTTATATTACAATTATGCAAATGCTCTAACACTTGCTTACAATTAGTTAATAATTAGCTTATGGTTTGCTCTGCTCTTCAATTTTTCTGTTGCTAATTTTCTATATAAAAATGTACAAGTTCAATCGAGAGAAGTTCAGTAATGCTCTCTGCCTTCATTTAATGTATATATAAATCATATACATATACTTTATAAAGATTGCCTTAATCTGTTGTATTATTATCTGTAATTATTATCAAAAAAATATATATGTATAATTTTACATTATAATTTATGTTCTTCTTATAAGCATTTTCCCTTTGCAATTTCCCTTAGCAACTTTTCTATCATTTTTTTGTTGTTTTTCCTTTCTCTTTTTGTTATTAGATTTTTTGATTTTAAATATATTACACAAAGCATAACAAGGCGAGCAGCCATAAAAACAACAATAACAACAAGGCAGAGAGAGCAACAATTGGCAATTGCTGCGGATTTTGATAAATGCAATATGTTTGCTGTTTGTGTAGCCCTTGTTGCTCCCCTTTGTGCTGTACATCATCACAGATTGGGCTTTTTGTGCGACATATTGAGTATATGACATTATTCATGATGCTGCTTCCTTTGGCCTCGTCCTCCGCATTCTGCGAGTCGTGCTCTTGTTGCTGCTGTTGCTTTTGCTTTTGCTGTCGTGGCTTGCTGTTGACTAGTTTGGTTTGCTTGCGCCGCTAGCTCGCAAGCGACATGCGCACTGTACTCGTGCTATTGTCGTGGTTGTAGTGCTCCGTATTGATAATGACTTGGACTACATAGCCCTGGTGTATGCTGCACTCGTCGATGGGTACCTTGTCGCCCAGCAGTTTCCCACTGTAGAACCAACGCTGGCAACAGGCATCTACACCCTCTGTGGCCTGCAAATCGGAAATCCATGCGTGGAATAATCATTGAAATCAACTAAATAGAAAGCTCAACTCACCTGCAACTTCTTCTTGCACTGTCCCACCGTATCCTTGGAGTATACCGGCAGTTTAACATCAGTCATGCTCGATGATATGCGCAGCTTGAGAAAGATTTCGGTGCCGCCATCCACTGGCTCTGAGTATTCAGCAGGCGAGTCGCGTCCGTTCTCCTCCTTCACGATATTGATGGGATATGACAGACAATAGATGGGCACCTTGTACTGCGTGCCCAGCTCATCGTAGCACTCTGTGAGGTAGCTGCAAGACGAATGATGGCCAAATTAGTAACCAGGCGGCACCAATCCACTATCACTATCTTATCACAAATCCACCATTCAGTCCCCTCCCCATTAATACATTACCCAACGGTTTGGCCCCTAATGCTAATGATTCAATGCCAGCCGGGGTCGGACGTAGACTCCGATAAGAGTCTGATAAAAGAGGAAATGACGTATGTGGCATGGGGAATGTGACGGAGGGACAGCAAGGACATGGACTGGCACACATGCAAGCCGTCAGACAGTAGAGTGGAAAGGTCAGCGCTGCATTTAAATAAATATGATTTACAGCCCGATGAAAACGAATGCCAGAGTCGTGGGGCAGTCAAAAATCGATGTCTAATAAAAACGTTACCGTGCAAATAAATCGGGACACATGGCGAAGCCTTTAATACCCTGCTTGTGGAGTAGTACCTACTACATAATTGATCTATAAGTTTGGCATATGAGTCATGTGGGTCATAAAAGAATACAAAAAGCTATGGAATATGATCGAACTGATTTGGGAAAGCCATAAAATCCTATATAATTGTTTTGTGTGGGTGGTACATTCTGAAGGGAGTGCTATTAATTAAAAAGTTGTATCTTTTTCAAGTAATATCTGCTACAAAAAAAATTCAACATGGTCTTTACTTAACCATTAGCTATGTCCGGCCACGAAAAACAGTTTGCAAATGTTCCAACGCTTCCTTAAAGTTATTTTTCTAACGCCCTAGCAAGCCTCATCACAAATTTATAACACCCCAGGCATCGTCCATTAAGGGACACCCGACGAAATGCTGTCATGCATTAATGGAGTTATGGCTATAAAAAAATCACTATATGCTATTGATTTTCTCGCCCCGAAGGCGGCCAGACGAGGGCAATTAGCATTTTGTGGGCTAATGGACAAGGACTCACCCATTTGGCACTGACACATTAGCCCCATCCAGTATGGCCTGGGCCATTTGAAAGTCCAGCCCCTCGGCGGCATTGGTGGCGGCGCGTAAGGCATCCCAGATCTCCTTGCGACCATCAAAGGCTGGGGCCGTGTCCCAGAACTCGTCCCGCTTGGAGCGCAGCTGTCCCTCGGTCAATGGCACATCGGAACGCCAGCGTATTGTCTCATGGCAGAGTGGGCGATTTTTGCGCGACGCGCCCAAGGCAATGCCTGCGAAAACGTCACAAATCACAAACAGATTGCCGATTAAGGGGTATGGAATTGATGCGACGGGTGTGAAGGCCACTCACCTGCACTGGGTGGACGCGATATGCTCGCCGACGAGACGCTCATCGTCTCGTTGTCGGGATTCATGCGACATACACAGGCGCCCATTTTTGAGTCGGACGCAAGCACAACAGCGTCTCGGTTTCCTATCAAACAGCAAAGAAAGGATCCTAGGGGCAATTTACACATATATTTGTATAAAAATTTATGAAAATTCTTACCTCTGCCCCGCACAGCCGCCTTGTTTGCTTTCGGATTTGTGTGTGTGTGTGTTGTTGTGCCTGTTTCTGATTTGTGCCTGATCTATACTATATTTGCTTTATTTTTATCAGGTTGGTTGTCTTTATTATTGCTTTTTTTGTTTGACTGCCTCGTTTTTTATTTTTTATTATTAAATTTCTTTCAACCGTGTTGTGTTCAGTGTGACCGCAGACTTATCGATGAAATATACCACCTAACCCTCAGAAGTATACCAGAATAAACCTTTTCATTTTAAAAATATACCGTAAATATAGCGAAGAAAAAAAGGACTTAGCCCACTGAACCCCCCTCTATTTAAACAGTCAAAAACCTTCAATTAAGCCGCGGAAAATAACCACTGGTCGACAATGGGCTAATCGTTCTCTGTCCATGATCATAAAGAATATTCGTCTATTTTAAAATTTGGTTTCATATTAGAAACCTGGTCAACCAGGTTTCTGCTATGAGTATGGACATTTGTACACCCTATTTCCTTTAATTAATGTTTAATTTTTTAAAACAGAGACTGATAAGCTTAAGCATTGATTGGAGCCTGAAATGACAAACATTACCCCAATTCGATATTATCCGTTTCCCAAGGTATGCAGATCTCAAAGATCTCAGAGCGCAATAACGCTGCAAAATAAATGTTATTTAATATTAACATTAAGAAAGTTCTAACTTTCACTTTCTGTTCTGTTAAAGTGTTTACAGAAAGAGACTTTAATATATTATATAATATAATGCACTATATACGGCCGCCCATTTACACATTCCTGTCCTGATGGGATATAAGTCGCTTCCATGCGCTTGGAACATCACCGTTTGCGTATGAATATCGAGTCGGATAGAAAGACCGTTTCAGAAAGTAAAGTGGATAGTAACGGTAAATGGGATAATAGTAAAATGATTAAACATGTAGAATCTACATTGTAGATCGTTATAATGCCTTATAGACACAGAATTGGGATAGGATATGTTGGACTTGCAGTCAACCAACACAAAAACAATGTCGAATTAATCCACATGACTGCCATGAACATATATTTTTGTATGTATTAAATTATTTCCGCGTATGTCAATAAAATCATAAAAAAACTTCCGAGCGTTATAATATAGTAGGAGTATTATCAGTATAATCATCTGGTTGCTTCGATCCCATTCCTTAGCTTACCCTGCTCTGGACTGATAAGCGTTTGTCTGCCATTGAAACTGGAATATGGTGGGTTGTCTGTCGGGAATTTGCCAGAGTCGTTTGCTCTTTGAAAATCTATTAGGCAATTAATTTGCCCACAATTCTAGCATGAACAATATTTAATGAGTAAATATTATATTTAGGAGTGTCTTGGCTTTTGGTGGAGCAGAAATAATGAACATTTTTCTCTTTGTTTGATGTGCAAACAAATTTACTCTCTTCTCTTAAGACACCCACCCCACTAAAATATAAGAGAGAAGAGCTGTTTGTATGCCGTTATGAAAATAATTGTTCTTAATGAATGGAATATTTGTTGAATATGTAATTAAATCGAATTAAATTAGCAAGGTTTCACAAGGGTATTAATTTGACGCCAGTACAATAATAAATACAATATTATCACCTATAATAATAGTCCCAAAAGCGCCCAAGTCCCCATTAGACATTTATTTACTCGTTCTTACGCTCTCTTTGTAAAGCTCTCGAAGCCCCAAACGGTATTGGTGCTCTGAGCGAGAGACAGAAACAGCTGCTGGGGTATGCGTCGCGTGTTTCGGAAGCAACAATTCCATTTCAAATGCTCCAGTCATCAGAGCTCCATCCGCTCATTATTGTACGCGGCGTGTGGTGTGTCGTGTGTGCGTGATTATTACGAGAACTCTGTATATATAGTATATATCCATCAAGCAAAAATCAATTCATAGACTAAAGTGCGGGCAATAAAAGTGACAAATCAAGTAGCTTATCATCCGATTAAAGACTAGTATATCAAAAGTGCCAAAGAATGGAGCGTATTCTGAGAGGTGTGATGCGGTATCGTAATACGACGCGCGAGCAAATGGTCAAAGAGTTCCAGAAAGTGCGCGATAATCCCGAGGTTAGACAAAAGTTAATAGGTCAAGATTATAGCATACCAAACCTATGTATACCCATACCCGTGTGACATTGAACATACACATAAATTGGTAAATGGAGAGGCACTAAAACTAGAACATGCTTTTGCCTTGTGCTATCGCATATTTGTCTGACTTGTCAGACAGTCTACCTACTCTCTCACCCTCTGCCTTTATACCCTCTCTCGTCTCTTCGTTTTGTTGTCGCTTTATTTTTGGTAAACAAACATTTCAGACTCTCTACGAACCGGTTGACTGTTTTTGTCGTTGTCCAGCCCCTACCCCACTCTTTTTATTATTACGTTTTTTACGCTTTATATTTATATTTTTAAGTGATTGCTTTTGTTGCTCTTGGGGTTTTGGTTTGGGTTCGTGCATTTGCGGCCCTGCTAATGGATAAATTAATTCAGTTTTAATTGTAAAATTTGAAAGCTCTTTTTTTTGGCTATACGAAACGAAAATACTCTCTAATTATCAAGTATATAATTGTCAGCATTATAGGTGCAATAAAAACTGTTGGGAATTGAAATAAAAGAACCAAAGGTCACGTCTTTTCAAACGTTACATATTCCAGTAACAAACGATTTAGTTTACATATGTTTCAGGAACACGATAAGATCGTTCTTTATCTACGATTCAGGTGGCACTTCTTTTGCTTTTATTAGAACCATACCATTAGAAATATTTCCTAGCCCATATCATTCCCATTTCCTATTCCCTGTCAATTGTTTTCCAATATTTTCAAAAATTCTCTGGTGTACAGCCTTGAACCGAACGAGCCCCTCTGTGGACACTTTTGGCTATTTGCCAAGTACAGCTGTGGTCATGATAGTAGTGCCACACCTTACCACATTCAAAACTATTTTTGGGACACTTCCAGTCTTTCAACTTGAACAAGTGTTACCTTTTGGGAAAGCGTGTAAGAAGAAGACAACAAACAGTCCTGAAAGTGGTGAGGTTCGGTACTACTACTTCTATGACCAAAGGCTTAGGTCATAGCTTGAGTACAATTAGTTTTGCTTCTCATTGCAATATATTTTTATTACGCACATACCGATATCTGCGCTAACTCTTGATATGTTTTATCTACCAGCCGAAGGCCGTTTTTTTCACCTGCATGGACAGTAGAATGATTCCCACCAGGTACACGGACACGCACGTGGGCGATATGTTTGTTGGTATGTACACTTATACGAGTACACCGTACACCTTATAATAATTAATTAACATTCTTTTTGTTTCCCACGGATAAGTGAGAAATGCTGGAAATCTGATTCCACATGCCCATCATTTTACGGATGAAATTTTCAGCTGCGAGCCGGCTGCCCTGGAGCTGGGCTGTGTGGTGAATGATATACGGCACATCATCGTGTGTGGACACAGTGATTGCAAGGCCATGAATCTGCTGTATCAGCTAAGGGATCCGGAGTTTGCTTCCAAGGTACGGGATCTTAGAAGTTTTCAATTACAAATCTTAAAAACCTCCCTCTGAAATCTAGCTAAATCGACGTCTCTCTCCGTTGCGTTCATGGCTCTGCACGCATGCCAGCACCAGTTTGGAGAAGTTTCAGGAATGGCACGATGCTGGAATGAAGGATCCCATATTGTTCTCCTCCGAAACGCCACTGCGTCGCTTTGTGGCCTACATCGACTCGGAGGAAAAGTTCGCCATTGAGGATAAGCTTTCCCAAATCAATACGCTGCAGCAGATGTCAAACATTGCCTCGTATGGCTTCCTCAAGTCGCGCCTGGAGTCACATGATCTGCATATACACGCGCTCTGGTTCGATATCTATACGGGAGACATTTACTACTTTAGTCGCGGGGGCAAGCGGTTCATAGCCGTTGACGAGAACAGCGTGGATCGTCTGTCCGCTGAGGTTCGAAGGTTCTACTCATAGGCGGAGATAAACATATGGATTTTCTGGATTATCTGTGATATGTGCAACAAGAAGGCCTTATACTATTGCGTGCTGCATTTACAAATGACTAATTGTTAGCTTTCTTTTGGATGTATATATTTATAAGTGTGTAATTTTTGTGTATATAAACTTACGGCCTACAAAGGTTCAAACTTACAAATCTATGAAAAATCAACGAAGGAGATGGCTATATGTATATATTAATCAGTAAGGGAAGCAGTAAGACTTTTCAGGGGGGTGGGGGGCACCTTGGGCGCTTCGATGTGTGCACAACAACAGACATTGGGCATTGTCTTTTGAAACAGAAAACAAGCAGGGCAGGCACAGGGAAACAGAAAGCAACAAATCGGCGTGGCATCAATGGTACTTGTGGCTATGATGGTTCATTGCACTGTTATTCGGATTCTCCAGCTCCTCAAAGTGCTTGCGAGCATTCCGTATATTGACGAGCGTGGCCTCCGAAGGCAGCGTGGGATCGGACATGACCACCATGACGTACGTGTTGCTTGTGAAGGTATCGATGAAGGCTGCAAAGGCGCTGTTTCGCACCTCCATCGACTGAAATTTGGCGCCCAACTTGGAGCAGCTCAGCTTAAACTGTTTGATGATGTTCGAGACCTTCTCGAACCGATGCGAGTCACGATTCTTTTTGCTCTGAAAATAGGATATGACCAGAAAGGTGGCCTTCTCGAAGAGCAACACCTCATCCGCCTCAATCACATTGGCAAAATGCGTTACAGAATCCTCCAGGGCGGCCACATTGGGTATCAGCATGGTTACAATGGAAGACCAGGCTCTGCAATGATTTAGAGGTTGAATAAAAGTCGTTTCAATGAAAACTCATTCGCCACCGACTTGTACAATGTTTCATCCCAGATGCTAGTGCGGAAGCAGGTCACATTTCCCGGCCTCGACAAGCGTATGAGATCTTCTTCACGCTCTTTGAACACACCCTCGCGATGCTCCTCGGGCACCAGGTCCATCTTGTGGACTAGACAAAAGATTAACGCCTCCGGGGAGTTCTGCAGCAACGCCTCCAGGCAGCTCTGATAGTAATGGACATCGCGCTCCATCTCCTGGCTCTCCACATCGAACACATAGATGAGCACCTCCACATTGCGGAATATGTTGTCACGCTGCTGCGCAATGTACTGTTTCATGAAGCCCTCCTGGCCGCCACAGTCCCACAGATTGAGGACCAGATTGCCCAGAAACTTGACATGTGAGTGCTCCACATCAACTGCAATTGTCGGGTGCCATAGTTATAGACTGAAAATCGGAATATATATGAAGATTACTCACTTGTTGCTCCAAGGCGTGTCGTATCACGGGCTATATAGTTAGCAAAGATAATGGAACGCATGCTGGTCTTGCCAGAGCCGCTCTTCCCCATCAGCAGTACCTAATTGAAGTTAAGCGTGGATTTAGAACAAAGCCAGGATCCGTTTGCCGTAAAATACATTACCTTCTTCTTCATTTCGTTTTAAATTTTTCAATTCTTCGCAAGCAAATCAACAATAAAAACAAATAGATGGGCGGGGAGGGGACATATGCAATGCGATGACGATAACAGCGACGAGTGTGGCCGTGGGTTACACAATTTAGTCCCAAAAATACTAGTTCTGGTATGGGTGTATATTTTTAAGTTGCGCATTTGTTTAAACATTTGAATTGAGTAAAATTAAAAACCAAAAATAAATTTATTCCTGACCATTCATAAAATAAAGGCAAGTTACAAGTTTATCTGAATTAAATTCAAAAATCCATTTTCATCTGCTCAACAGTATTGGATGATCATTTCAGATCTTCCTCACTGATACGATGCTTGCCCAGTACATGCCGTTTCATATGATGCTTCTCCCTAAAGGCCATCACGCAATGGGGACACTTGTAGGGTCGGTCATCTGTGTGGCGTCGTCGATGCTTGAAGAGATTGTTGTTGTCGGCAAAGGTTTTCGGGCACTCGGGGCATTTGTATGGCTTCTCCCCTGTGTGGACGCGAACGTGGACCTTTAAAGTCTGTTTGGATCGGAACGTAGATGCACAGAACGGGCAGTTGTGCGGCCTTTCGCCAGTATGAACGAGAGTGTGCACTTTGAGAGCAGACTTATTGTGGAATCCAACCGAGCAGTGGGTGCACTTGTGTGGGCCAGTGGCAAGCTTGTCAGATTCCTCCTCGGTGTGGCTAAACAAGTGCTCCTTGAGATAGTAGTTATGGGCAAAAGCTTGTGGGCAGTGCGAGCATTTGAAGGGCCGATCCTCCTCCAGCAGGCATTTGTGGTTGGTTATATTTTGGTTCGTGGCGAAGCTCTTCATGCATAGGGGGCATTGATACGGCCGTTCGCTTCTATGGACAGTCATGTGTAGGTCAAGATCTGTTTTAAATAGGAAGCGTTGTTCGCAGGTTTGGCAAATGTGGGAATTGGTGTGAATTCTGTGGAAGAAAACCGATACTCTAGAGTTCAAGGAACAATTCAGTGGACAAACTCACTTCATATGTTCTTCAAGATTTCTCTTATGCTGGAATTGCTTGATGCAGAGATCGCACTTATAGGACTCTCTCTTAGTTTCCTTCAGCTTCTTGCGGGCACCCGTGGTCAGTCTTTTCTCCTTTTTTTTCTCCTCAAGTGCTACCTTTGGCGGTTTCTGTTCAACTATTGGTTTCTTCAGCTCCAGCTTCATTTGCGTTGCACTGTCAAACAGCTCTTTGTAATGTACCAAACCCCTTTATGCATATAGCACAGTGCAGACCGTAGCGTGAGGCCGGTCTTAACGTTGGACGTTCCCTGAGTATCCTGTTGGCAGTGAAGAAGGTCGATGGGACACAGCTAGCAAAACAGCCTGTGGGGGGGTTCTTGACCCATTCCATCTCCAACCTCAGAGTACACATTTAATAATGTCCCTTGCCTTAATGTTTACTTCCATCGATCAACGCAATGCAAAGTGCAACGCGACTCACAACGAATGAAAAATGATTAACTTTGAACCAGACTCTACTCTCTTCAAATTCTCACTAATACACCCATCCCATTGAGATGTGTGGACAGTGAGTCTGCTTGATGGTATGCAGTAACGCGTCTCAACCCTCCCGACCATTGAGCTTTTCTGCGCGCAATAAATATTCGAAAAAACTCCCAAAAACGATATCTCTTCTCCCTCTTCTTCTTCACATTACTTCAAGGAAATATTAATTATTTTATTTACTCCATAATTTTTACACAAAACTTAATACTTGAAACCATTATATTTAATCTTCATAACTCATTTAATAAGCCAATACCACTTAAATACTTCATAATAATATTCTTTTGCTTTCACAACTAGACTTTTATACCCTATTTTCATTATTATTGCTCAAACAATTTCTTTGATAAATTCTATTCTTACTAATTTGTAATCTCGTTGCTTTTGCTCATGTTCACTTTCACATATACAACCGCTGAAAGAAGTTTTAATTAAATAATAACATAATATATAAAAATTAATAATAATATAGAAAAATCAGTTTAATGCAAATATATCATAAGGGGTTAAGGTTTTCTTGTATCAAAGTGAAACCAATAAAACGAGGAAAGTCAGCAAACGCAAAATCAAAACAAACACGCGACAAATCGGTGCAGGTGCTTTGCGGATTGCATCGTTATCTCTGTTAACTCTCTTTCTTCACCTCTTCTTTCGGTCACACACTCTATCTCACAGAGACGGGTATGTCGGTTTCCACGTTTTCTTTTACATGGTTAATTTCTTTTGGTTTTTATTGATTGTTTTTATTCGGTCTGTTGGACTCACCCAGATTTATCGTAGAAGGCCTTCTAGGAGATCGGTTTGATTTTATGATTGATTTTAAATTTAGGTAATTAGTTTGGGGTGATAGAGCATTACAAGTCTCGCTTCACTGGGTTATTTTCACTCTGCCTTTTCACTCACTTTGCATGTCTTAGTTACTTTACACTTTATTCTTTTGTCCGGTTGTACATGTGTTAGTGATCTTGAACGTGCCTATTCGTTTACATGTCTTCTTTTTGATGTAATTGCGAATTTCTTTTAATCAACCCTAAATTTTCACTAATTCACTAATTCCTGCTGCTTCGCCTTCTTCTGTTTGTCTCCGGTATTCCGTTTTCCAAACGTTCTGCTCCGGTCGTTAACCCTGCTCTCCCGCTAATGACAATCGAACAAACTCAGACTGCGCATATGTAACGTTGCTGCGGCTGCTGGTCTGCCAAAGAAAGTTGCGTCGGGGAGCTCGGCCCTTTCCACGGGTTCTTCTGCCCCTGACTTGACCCTGATCTGGTCTATGAGGAGAGGTTAGGTCAGAAAATTGTCTTGGACTATAAAAACCCCTTATTTCTCACCTTTTTCTTTAAAACCGTGTGTATTATTTTCCTTCGCTATGTTTTTGTTGGGCACAGCAATGTTTTAAAAGCGCCTGCTTTGAACCAAAATCTGTTCTGGAATACAGTCTTATAAATTCCATGTGACTCCCTACAATCTTCCACGAAATATTTACCTGGCCGAACTATACACCACTTTCAAAACAATTCTTCACGAAGATTTATTTAAAATTCCCACGGATGCCTTAAATATTTCGAGATTGCTCTTTGAATATTTAGGACTTATACTATTAGCCTGGGTTAAGCGCGTAATTGGATTTTGATACGAGAAATTAGGTCTGGTCAGTTACGCTGGTACGATCAAATAGGAAGAGAAAATTCGCTGAGCTCGACAAGAACCTATTCTCGCTCCACCCAAAACGATCGAGTTTACGAGCTTTCTTCCCAGCTGACTGTGTTGTGAAACTCGCGAGTGTATCTCCTAACGTAATGAGCTTAAATTTCCCGCCAAATCGATAACAATTTATACGAATTCTACGAAAAATTAAAAAACAAATTTTTCTCTTTTTTTTGAGAACCATGCACAGCACACCACAGGGTAATCAGCCATGTTTTACATAGGGCAGATTACCCTGAAATCTGTTATTGCCTTATGTCTTTCGCATGCACCTTTCCTATTAAATTGCCTTTTAAGTCTTCTAAGACATAAGTAGAACTTCCAACCTTTTCTCGCACTCGAGCTTTAACAAATGATGGACACAATTTGCTTGCGATATTTTTCTCAAAATTACTTTGTACAAAGTTTCTTCTAAAAACTTCTTGTCCTACATGATAACGAACTTCCTTAGCACGTAGGTTATACTGCTTGGCCTGTTTTTCATAAGCGTTTGTAATATTTCTCTTAATCCCAGTTCTTAATAAAGCCAATTTATCTTCTCTCTTAAGAGGATGTACGGACTCTTCTAGAAGATTTAATTTTCGTAATAGTTCATATTCGGATCCATGTGTTATCATTTCCATGCCGTAGATCGCTCGGTAAGGTGAAACTTTAATGCTCTGATGTAAAGAGTTCCTTAACGCACAACTAATTGCAGCCACATTCTTGTCCCAATCTCTCTGATCTTCTTTCAAATATGCTCGAATCGCCGAAATGATAGACCTGTTCACGCGTTCAGATGCGTTTGCTTGGGGAGAATAAATAGCGGTCAGCATGTGTCTGATCTGTAATGATTTTAAAAAACTTTCAAACTCTTTTGCTCGGAATTGTACTCCATTATCACTTATCACAATTTCTGGCACTCCATACGCAAAGAAAATCTCATTTTGCAAATACGAAATAATACTAGAAGTAGTAAATTTTCGTAGTGGACATAACCAATGGAACTTGGAAAAGTGATCCAATACTATAAGTAAGCCAATAAATCCACTTTTGCTTCTGGGGTATGGTCCTAACAAATCTATATAGAGTCTCTGAAATGGTCTAGTAGATTCTGCCTGCTTTCCCATTGGTGGTCGCAGAATTATGTTCGGTGCTTTGGTTGTTTTGCACACTTCGCAATTTCGAACATAATCGCGAATTTGTTGAACCATTCCTGGCCAATAAAACTGTCTCCTAATCAAATCCAAAGTTTTCCCCATCCCTCCATGAGCTGCTACAACACAGTCATGAGCTCTTGAGATCACCTCCTTGGTTAAACTCTGTGGTATCCAAAGTTTCCAAACCTGATCTTGCAAATCTTCCGTTCCTTCATCCTTTTCGGTACGTAAATAAAGCAATCCTTCTTCAACTTTCATGTCTGGGTATTTACACTGATCTCCCGTCACCCTAGCTTGTGTAGATAGATACTCTGCATCCTTGAAATTCTTTGCTTTTAAATCAATTAACGGTCCTATTCCTTCAACTATCGATACTTCGTTTTCATATAACCTCGACAAGGCATCTGGTACGACGTGATCCTTTCCTTTACGATGGCTAATAGAAAATCGATACCCTTGCAATTGCATCGCCCATCTAGCAAGTCTACCTTTAAGATTCGCTTGTCTCATTAGCCAAATAAGACTAGCATGATCCGTAATCACTTCAAAGTTCTGAAGCTCTAGATAACATCTAAACTTTTCAATCGCTAGCAACGCCGCAAGACATTCTCGTTCTGTTACACTGTAGTTCCGTTGTGCGGTATTCAGTTTCTTACTCATATACGCGATAGGTCTTTCCTCATCATTATTCCCTCGTTGAGTCAAAACTGCCCCTACCCCAAAGTCACTCGCATCACAATGTAAATAAAACTTCTGTGAAAAGTCTGGATTCTGTAAGACCGGTGCTGATGTTAGTACGGTCTTCACTTTTTCAAAAGCCTGTTGAGCTTCCTCTGTCCATTGAAATTTCCGTTTGTTTGAAATTAATTGTGTGATCGGGAAAGTCAAATCCGAAAAATTTGGAATAAATCTTCGATACCATCCAGCAAGTCCGAGAAATCCCCTAACTTGTCGTAATGTTTTTGGCTCTGGCCATGACATAATAGCTTCGATTTTCCCCAAATCTGTGGCAATACCTCCACCTCCAATCACGTATCCCAAATATCTAGTTTGAGTAACACAGAATTTACTTTTCGCAATGTTTAACGTCAAATTAGCTCGACGAAATTGTTCTGAAATCCGCTTGAGCACCTCCAAATGAGAATCAAATGTATCTGATACTACAACCAAATCGTCCAGGTAACCAAAAACGCAATGTTTTAAATCTGGTGGAATTAGCTCATCCATTAATCTGCACATTGTCTGTGGTGCGTTGCATAACCCAAAAGGCATAACTTTAAATTGATAAAGAGGACGTCCCGGAATAGTAAAAGCCGTAATCGGACGTGCTGCTTTTGACAACTTAATCTGCCAAAAGGCATCTTTCAGGTCCAACTTTGTAATGATATTTGCCTTGGGCATTCTCGAAAATATTCCCTCAATATTAGGTAATGGATATGCGTCCTTTTCAGTAACTGCATTGATTTTTCTCGCATCCAAACAAAGCCTTACTTTGCCTGGTTTTATGACCATGCGCATTGGAGAACTCCACGGACTCGAAGAGACTTCAATGACGTCCATAGCTAACATGCGATCAACTTCTTGATATACAAGTTTTTCTACAGCCGGTGATATTGGATAAAATCGCTGTTTGACTGGTTTACCCTTACCGATATCAATATCGTGTTCTAGTAAAGATGTTCGCCCTAGGCCTTGAATTTCAAAATTTGGAAACAATTTTACTACTGACTCTAGCTGATGTTGTTGCTGCATTGTCAATGGATATTTATGTTCATGACTCGCCTCTTTTGTAATGATTGTGTCTGTTTCGAGACTAGCGACTACTTTTGGAA